TGGCCGCCGTGAGGGCGGGTGGGAACGCGACGAAGACGCGTCTGCTGTGGTTTCCGTTTCTATTGGTCCGCAATGGTAGCGAAATTCGGGCGTCTGTTGCCGGCAACTCTTTGGTAAAACTGTATCAGAAGAATTGATTCTGATTGATTAGAGATCTGTCGATTCTTGTACAGCTGCAAAAATGGCAGAGTTTTACCTTGGCATTTAAAGCGACCACTAGCGTAAATAGTATTCCTTGTATCGTCTGCATCAGCAAGCCGTCTTCGATGCTTATTTTGTAAGTAACAAGTAGGAAGTAGCTGCAACCTACGGACAGTAACTGTACTAGTTTGTCCCATAACCGGATAGGGTCACTATCAGTAGCTATGCAAGGTCTCTTAGACTGTCTATGTGAAACCACGAAAAAGTCTACAATCGCACAGGAAAAATAGGTACGTACGATCACCTGAAGATCCACGTTTTCTTCCTCATCCGCCTTGAAGCGCTTAAAATTCAACAAAGTAGTTCTCTCTCTAACTTAAGTCGATACTTCCGCTATTCCTCGCTCAACACAACTCCTAATGGTCCTCCTGCAGACCTGCCTTGGCATAATGCAAGTTAACCGCAAAACCAGCGTGGGATAAGGTAAACGGCAGAGGAAATTGAACACAAAGACAAGAATGTCTCGTATGTACGTCACGGCAGAACTAAGTAGCCTGACGCTCCCCACGCGCCCACGACATAACTAGCACACCGCCAGTAAGAGCAAAGATAGATAAAATCAATTAGCCACTGAGCACCTGCTGTGCCCTATTTTGACATGTCATTATTACAGTATACTCACGCTACATCGACGGCTATCAGGGAACCTTACTGGTCAAAACCTCTTCTCATCATCTAGCCAGTGCGGAAGTACTTTAAAAATGACCACAGTAAGAAAGGTCGGTCCGTGTGTGTGTGTTCAAAACGGTCCTTGTGCTCTCACCTCTTCACCCCTTATATCAAAATCTAGTGACTACGGTGCTAGCATTGAACAGCTTGGAAACTTTTATTGGCTGACACTGCGTCCCCCTCCAGTAATCCACCAGTCCGAGAATGTAGAAATTTTGGGGCAACCGTTGCCTGTAACTTGCCAGCAAAATATTACCTACCGCTGCTACTCCGGCCAATATAACCCACTAACAACTCTAACTCTGATTTTAACCCAGTTGCAACTCATCTAATTTTGAAAGGTGTTTCTAACTGCGCGAGTAACTAAGCCTTTCCTATCAGAACCATTGTTGTGTTTTGCAACTCCGGGTATCGCAGCTTACTCGACTCAGGAAGTACTTATATTGGGCCGTGAGATGCCTGAACTAACTGTAGCAGTACGTAAGATTAACGCATGTGTTATGTCACTCAGGCATAATAGCAATACTAAAAATCTGGCGTTATTGTTTCGTAGTAATACACTATATCTATGTTATTATGGTAACTTAAGTGTGCCAAAACCACCGCGGCTATAGTCTTTAATCATACTTTAGACATTTTATAAGTGCCATCGTCCAACTATCTCCTTTATAAACAAACTCAAATTTCTGTATGGCTTCATATCCTAAAGGCATCCAGCAGCGCTATCCCAGACGTACAACCGATAAGCCCCACCAGCCCTAAGATATTTACTAGTTTATTGACATTGGCGTCTGCACTTACAAAGATAAGTTATCTGGTCTGATAGTTGTGAGTGCGGACTAATCCATATGAAGTGGATAAGAGGTAAACGCAAGCTAATGCGGTTCTGTTATTTCAAGGATTTGTTTTCTATCCTCTTCATTTCTCAAATCAGGCTCAAAAAAATCTTAACGTAAGCAACCGCACTTTCAATTCAAGTTACAGACTCATTGCTGTGTATTTTGACCACCGTAGTCTCAAATTTATTTATGTTTCGGAGGCTTCAACGTTCACATAGTCGTAGATGACTAAAAGCTTCTTCGTTCATTATTGCGTTGCAGCCCGAAAATCATAACATTAAGTATTTCAGTGCACCAATGATCGACCTACTAAACTTTTCGATGAGCGATCGCACAGGCCTCTAAACCTTTTTAGTTCTTACACTAAAGCTAACTTTTCTACCAAATGAAGGGGTAATTTTGGACAAATTACAGCAACTCTGGTCTCCTCTAATCAGCTGTATTGTAAAAGTTTTGCCAATTTTTTCTTGATGAACTTTACCCCCTCTAGTATGGCCGTTAAAATTGTTTTTGGGACAATTTTGTATGTGAAATAAAGCAGACATATTCCCCTGTTTTTACGAGGGGTGCAGTCATCTTTTTGGAAGACTTGCGCGATGGTTAAAGAGCACTCAAAAGCTCAACCGGCAGAAAGTCTCCAGATTTTTCGTCCAATCTTTCCGCTAGACAGGGCCGGGACATTTCATCTGACTCTACCCCGCCCCAGTGTTTTGTATCCGAAGATTTTGATGCCAACGACGTTATCTTTACAGGAAGAGGGTTCCTCCAGCACCATACTTGATGGCCCTATAATATTTCACAGTGCTTGATACTTACATGTAGCAACCGTGATTATTACTCATGTTGTAAGTGTGTTAAGTGAGCTGGTTGTGGGAAATGCTTGCCCCACTGTGCCTTAAAGCCCCTAGTCGAATAACGACGAAGGATATTTGCTGAAGAGTCCCGAAAAAGACTGATCAGGTCAAAGGGCCATGGCTTAATTGATAGTGACCAAAGAACGTGGGTTCGAGGCTAGTCTCCGGAAAAACCTGGGCTTTAGTAAGACTGGTTGGAAATGACCATCTAGGTTTTTAAGATTTTGTTCAGTAATTGTTTTTTTACGTCTTCACCAGCTGTATGCGTTCAAAACTTTGGGCTGGGCTACACATTCGGTTTCCAATTGGCTCCGTTTGAAATTCGCTTGCCCACACTCTCCTTTTCACTAGAGAAAAATAAGGCATCACGGGCTTATGAACGTTTTTCCGCCCTTTTAATTTCCTCTGTCGTTAGTCATTGTACAACCAGTTCTCGTTTCTGTACAGTCTGTTATATTTAGAGCCGTACCTTCTAAGTTTTGTGGCCTTTTTGCAGCATGCGGGCCAAACACCAGTTGCACCTTTGAAAGACGCAATTTTTTGAATAGGACCCCTTGAGGCGAATGTAATCAAGGTCTTATCACCCAACTCCTCATTCAACTCCTCTGCAGCCGACTCTGTGATTGTTTGTGATACACTGTTCGTTATGCCATTTTCGTCCAGGTGCTCTTAAGCCGATCAAAAAAGCTTTTTATTTACAGCCTACGTGCCCATCCGAATATATATATTTTTAAAACTTTTAGGCGGTGCTCGTTTCCATAATAATGATGCGCGGGCTA